CTAATTTATTTCAAACATTTTGCTTAGAAGTCTGCAGTGTTTTTCTTCACTCTGAGTACTTTTTAGATGCTTTAATTCAAACACATAATGTATTTCTACACCTTGATTTCTCATTTGCACAGGGAAGAAATCTTTCCTTGTCACCTTTGTTTTTGCTGGAATCATAAAGGGATTTGATCATATAGCTCCAGTTTCACGTACTTGGCTTACTTCAGGTTCTCAAAGATAACTATTCACAAAATGCTCAGTGCCATGCAAGACAGAAGAGCTGGTCAGACCACAAGAGCTATACTCTACAGTAGGGTTTGTTGTATCAATCAAGCATTTCTCTTTCTGGCCTTCGTCTTGTGTAGATGATGAAGTGATATTTCTTAACAAAATTCAATGGCTTACAACATTGTATGTGCCTATGACTTGAGCACTGTCTATACAAGCAATTGCATAAGTGGAAAATGCACTTTTTTAGGGAGGGAAACTCCTCTATTTGTACCTATTTGTGATGAGAGGGTGTGATGGTGGTGATTATGTATTTGAAAGGCAGTTTTCAACAGGATGGAGCGTTTTGTGATAGCTTCTGTAATTTGAAGTCCTTAAGTCTACATCTTCCTGAATCTCTTGAATGTAATGAATTTGTAACGTAATTGGGTTTCATTATTGCTGGGGCTGACCTGTCACCTTTTTGGGGATAGGCTGATGTCTGAGGTGCTAATACATAAAGCTGGATGTGGTGCTTCTGAGCTAAAAATGATTGGCCAGCAGTCAGGGCATTTGCTTTTGAGCCAATCTGATGCAGCTGTAGGAGCTGCAAGTTGAGAAAATTAAGCAAGGATGAGTGTAACCCTCAAAGTGTGAAGCCAGTGTAGCTTCATCAGTTAGAAAGATGTGGAGAAGCAGCAGAAAAAGCTGTGTTGCTGTGCTTAAGCTGTCTCTGCTGTGCTCTGCACTTGGATCAGTTGCTGATATTCCAGGAAATTCCAGAGTTGACTCAGCATGAGAACTTATGTCACTCAGATCTTTCCTCTCCCTATTGGAGAACTCAACAAGAAACCCAATGTGCCAGTATCTCTTAGAGCAGCATCTCTTGCACTGTTCAGCCATAGGCAGAAGTCTCAGGATGGGCCAGAAAGCAAACCAGGTCACTAGTCTGATCAGTCTGACAAATTGCCTTTTTCCCTCGGTCAGGGGCTTCAGGGGCCTGCCGTTCCTGAGAAGCAGTGGGGTGGACTCAGGGCTTCTGGTGGCTCCAGGCCCTGCCTGCTGCAGCTGTACCTCTGGGAGCAGCTGCATCCTCCACTCTGCATAAACTGGGGGGAAATAGGTAGAACTGGGACATGGGAAGAAGCATGAGAACGGCTGCTCCAGTTATGCACTGAGTTTCAGTGCACATAAATGATGTGGGTTTCTTTTGACTACTGTAGCAAATGCTCTAGTTTTGTTACTAAAACAAAACCGACCTTTCTATTGCTCTTTATATTTGGAAAGTGATATATTATCAGTTTCTGAACTTGAGGTTTAGTGAGCTACAGGCATTAGCTTCCTTTCAAGCTACTCTGGGCTTTCGTGCTTGCTTTGTATGGCAAGGGTCTAGAGAGATTTCTTTTATTTCCTTCCCCACCATTGTTTTCAGTACAAAGTTTTTTTCTTAATATTCAGACATTTTATCGCCTCACTTCTTTTAGAACTCTGAGTTTCTTTTTTTTTTCTTTTTTCCCCATTACACAAAAGAGTACTTTTAGCTGATTGAGTTCTATCCATTGCCAACTGCAGACTCTTTTGTCTTGTTGTCCAGCATCCTTTATGGAATGAGGACCATTGAGCGAGTACTTGTTGGCTCCCTGCTGAGCACAATTGTGCGTGCAAGGTGTGGTACTGTACCACGGAACATGGAAAGCTGCAGTTTGGAGGGCCTGAATGCATTGCAATTTTTACCTTTTTGCTTTGTGAAAGAAGTGGGATTGTGCTGTGAGATAATAAATCCACCTATTTTTAGTTTGGTGCAGTTGCGACAAGTGGGCGAACAAAGAACCAGTTGAATGCACTTGCTGTTGTGTTGAAACCAGCTAAAAGTTCCTATTCAAGTAGTTTCAGCACAGTACAGCTAACAGGCAATTTTCCATTTATGTATACAAACCATCTAGAAAGACAGCTGTGCGGTTGGATTAATTTCTAGCAGTAAATTGAATAAAAGAAAATTGAAGGAGGTCTCGGGAATTCCTTTCTAAACAGTGAAAGCAGATCTTTCAAAGCTTTCTTTTATTTAATCCCTTGCCTTCCCAATGTCTACTGTAAGATTTAAAGGACTGGAAATAGTGTCCTCTATGTGGAGGTATACAACAGGAAATGTGCTCTTTTTTTTTTTTGAAGCAAAGGGATGCTATTAAAATATCCTCTAACACTTTCTACTTCAAAATATGCTGATTTGCTTTTAAGTAAATGGGAAATTCACACCTCTTAGTCATAAAAAGGAGCTCAAATGTTTGTGCTTGTGTAAGCTGTAAGTGAGCAATGTAGAAATGTGTTCTGAAAACAGGAATGTGTTTTATACCCAAACTGTTTTTCACTGGGGAAAGGAACTTGGTAGTAGAAAGCTTTTTGATTATGCAAGGTTATCAGTTTTGTTGAAGCTAGTTACGTGTTGAAATAGGATGTGGGTTTTAATCAAGGCTAACAGATTTCAGTGAACTCCTACTGATAAAATGGTGGTCACGGGCTTCTATTTTAAAGGTTGATCTTCAAATACTATTTTGGCATTATAAATTAGCTCCTAAATGAAGTCTTGATTCTGTTCAAGTAAACTGTGATAACAGATACAGTTTGGGCAGAGAATGGTTTGAAGACAGCTCGAAGGAGAAGGATTTGGGAGTGTCATTTGGTGAAAGATTCAACATGAGCCAGCAATGTGCACTTGCAGCTCAGAAGACCAACTGTATCTCAGATTGCACCAAGAGAAGTGTGACCAGCAGGTTGAGGGAGGTTGATTCTGCCTCTCTGCTCTCATGAGACCCCACCTGGGGTATTGCATCCAGTTCTGAGGCCCCTAACGCAAGGACAGGTTGGAGTGGGTCCAGAGGAGGGCAGTGAAGATGATCAGAGGGCTGGAGCCTCCCTTACAAGGACAGACAGAGAGTTGGGGTCTTCATCCTGGAGAAGAGAAGGTTCTGGGGGGACCACATAATTGCCTTCCTGTACCTGAAGGGGCCTACAGAAACACAGGGGAGGGACTTTTATGAGGCCATGTAGTGATAGGGCAAGGGGAAATGGCTTTTAAACTGCAAATAGGTAGATTTATGCTAGATATTAGGAAGAAATGCTTTACTGTGAGGGTGGTGAGACACTGGAACAGGTTGCCCAGAGAGGTTGTGGATGGGTCCTCCCTGGGGGCATTCAAGGCCAGGCTGGATGGGGCTGTGAGCAACCTGGTGTAGTGGGAGGTGTCCCTGCTTACAGCAGGGGCATTGGAGCTACTTGTACTTAAAGATCCCTTCCAACCAAATTAATGATCTACTTTGTATTATATGAAAGGAATTTTGAGCAAAAGCTCCATATAAGCGTAAGAAATCTCTGGTAGGTAATGGAGGGTGTAGCACTAAAGCGTTATTTTCTTGGTTTTCCTTCAAATAATTTTTCTGTGTAGACTAGATGTAAGAATATCCAAGTAGCAACTTGAAGAGTGGCAGTAGGCTTACTGCAAGATCTTCTACATAGCACTGACCTCAGGGGTCACCTTTACCACTGGGTGGTTTCACTCTCCCCGCTTACCCAATTTTGTACAGACAAGATGAACTCATGCTTAGATTTCCTCTGAACTTGTGAAGTTTTGCTTGAAAGCCACTTAACAGATCTGGTAAACTGTTCATGTGGCTGCTAGCATGCAGTGGTGGAGTAGGAAGATTTGTCCAGTGCTCTGGGAAAGCATCTGGAACATGATGTAGTATGAATGTTGCAATGTTTGTATTCCATGCGAATGTATCAACTAATGTGAAATACTTAAGAAATGACAAATCGAGGGGGAAAGCTGAAAATGGGTGTGAAAGTGTTTTGTTCCTTGTGGATCTACTTGTAATAAGCTGTGGCCATGTACATGTGAGGTTGCAGTCAGATATCAAGAGCAGCCACCACAGTGTTACTCTCTGGATTCTCACCAGTGCAAAGAGAAACCTTGGCTGTTACACCCTTTCGGCTCACTGTGTGCTTGTAAGAGACAGAGTTTAGAAATTTCACATTTATCAAAATCAAACTTCCATTGTCTGTATGGCCCTGCTGTTAGATGCTGCTTTTGATTTCTAGTTAAAGATCCCTTACAGCTGCATGAGGAACTCAGGCATTTTTCCCTTTATTTAGGATACTGAGGATTTCTTTTTTAAATCAGGGTTAGCACCCCTCTCCTTTTAATATACTTTTCATTTAAATAGCCCTGAAATTCCTGAGCTCTTGTTCAAATGGTACCAAAAGTAAGACAAACTAAGCTGACTCTGAGAAAGATACTTACAGCTTGGCTGCTTGCTGCTTTGAGGTTACCCAAACGTGCCAGTTGTCTTGCTGCAGACTCCTGTGGGACTGGAGAGCTTATTATCTACATGCTTGGGAACTTGGAGAAATTAGTTGTTGACTAGGCTGCAGTGCAGCTGTCTAACCTAAATGCTGATGTTACTAACTGCTGTGCTCTGGGTTTGCCAGAAGGTGAATATACCAGCCTAGATGCTTGTAGTTCCCTATTAAGTTAGATTTTTAGACTTTTCTGCATACAAAAGGAGTCTACTAGATTTTTGTCACTAACTGGAATCTACATAGGCAAAAAGTCTGTGCACGATCAGGTTGAGTAGTAAACAAATGCCCTTCTTCCTTTTTCCTCATGTCCCACGTTGTTTCCAGCTGTGCTTTGGATATATGCTTCTCTAAACTTGAGTACATTTCCTCACCTCATTGAAATACTTACGAGAATCAATTCTGCTCATCCTGTACATTCATCATTAATATATTCATATTTTTTTCAATTACAGACTTTAAAAAATTCCAAAAGTCTTTGCTCCCTTGATTATGAAGACGATGATGATGACACACAAATGAAGACAATTGTGTCATCCCCATGTGACTCAAATGATCTTATGAACATCATCACCCCTGGTTCCAGTCCAATGAAAGAACAGCTGGATGAAGTAAGGCATCACGGGTCATGCCAAGGTAGCTTCAAAACAAGGGATTATAAGAAAGCAGCTGCAGTGTGTGAAAGTGATGAGGACACAAGTGATTGTGAGAGCACTGAAGAAGGCATCTTTCCTCTAGACTGTGGGGACTTGGACTTAGAGCAGATTGAAAACAACTGAGTCTCAAAGTTGTGTGCTAGAATCAGAGTTGTTCTAAATTAAAATGATAGAGGATTACCTTTGCCATGCATAATCCATGTCCCTGAATCTCTGTATTGCCTATCTTGGGCCTGTGTTAGAAGAAATGTTTCAGGTGGGGGAAAAATGTGAACCATTGTTACCTGTTTAGTCTATTGATCAGTATGTGGATGACAATGACAACAACAACAACAGAAAAGTAGGAGGTTAAATGTTATTTTGAACATTAAGGAATAATTTTGATTAAAAAATTTCCTAACAGATATTTTGCATTTTTATGGCTTTTACAGTTCTGGAGAAAAAGCATCTCTATTTTGAAATGAATTTTCAGAAGGGCATTCTATAAAACTAAATCTGTCTTCAGTGATTCTGGTGCGGGTATATGTTGCTTTTGTTAAAGAGCTTAATGTGAAAAGTGAATTGCATAATGAAATTGGTAATAAACCTTCAGATAGAACTCTTAAATACCTGGTTGGCAACTGGTCCAAAATATTTAACTGCCATCTCTGACAGTGTCTGGATTAAAAAAAAAAAAAAAAAAAAACACAACTTCATAACATGTACAAATGTTCTTTTCATACATTCAGGACTTTTTGATCAAAATATGGTAGTGACCTTAAAGGTTAACATTTTCCATGATTTTACTACTTGAATTGTTTTCTAGCCTGAAGCAATGCTAATTTAGGTGGGATAAAACTGCAAGTAGCTGCCCACCTACTTGGTCATTATGTTTTCTGTGGTTCAAAAGAATGTACAACAAGAGCACTTGAACTTTTAGACAGGGACTTTGTAATGATCAGTTCCCCAGGAGGTGATCCCTTCAGCAATACTAGAAGGAAAATAGTCCTTGAATTAAATAAAATGACATTTTGCTTTGCACTTGTGTCTGTTTATGAATTTTGTTGGTGGAAAATACAGTCTGGGTCATGTTCTGTAATATGGTATTTATGTACAGAGCTGGGTGGAGGGCAGACTTCTGGTCATCTAAAAAGAAAGTCAGATTGGTTTGAGGAGCTGGGGAGTAATTCCTGCTAGATCCCAGAAGTGTCTCAGTGATTACATACACCATAATAATCTTAATATAGTAGTCTATTCACTGCAGACTATTGCAACACATATTTTGTTAGTTCAGCTGGAATAGGGATTTGCCTCATGAAGAGGGAAAATAATCTCAAAATAGAGATTTTAAATTGGATAGAACTGGAGAGGCTTAGATTATGGCGTTTCATTGCATCTCATTAGTCTGCTTAAATGAGCCAACTCCTATGGTAGTGCTATAAAACCAAAATCCAGTATCATTCCAAGTCACCTAATGGAATGTGATTGAAGTGAGAAATTAATATCTGGAGGCATGTGACAAGAAGCAGAATAAGGTGTGACTCGGGCTGCAGCCTTGTGGTTAGGGTCAGCCTTTGGGCATAAAAAGAACTGGCTTTTAATTACTGAAGTAGCTTGCATGGCTTACTGTCTGTACAAAACTGAGCTTGGGGTAGCCACTAAAAAGCTGTAGTGTTCTTCATGCTTTTATGACTCCTACTGCACGTGTAACTAACGGCAGCAGTGGTCTGCAATACCAATACCAATATACGTGCATATGGAGGTGTGAGATCACTGGAAAGACTTGTTAGGCTCTTGATGTGTTAATATATATAGTGTTAATATATGTCATGCTCATTGTAGCAGCAGAAAATCATCCTCCTTTTCCTAGATGAGTAAATAAAGGAGCTGCTCATGGAGCACAGTTCTTTCAGAAGCTCTGTTAAATGTGCATCTCGCTCTGCAGATTATTTGGATCCAGAGGAGGGCCATGAAGATGATCAAAGGGCCGGAGCACCTCTCCTATGAAGATAGATTGAGGAAGTTGGGCTTATTCAGCCTGGAGAAGGCTCTGGGGAGACTCTATTGCAGCCTTGCAGTTCTTGAGGGAAGCTTTAAAAACAGGACAGGGACTTTTTATGCTATCATGTAGTGACAGGAGAAGGGGGAATGGATTTAAACAAAAAGAGGGGAGATTTAGGTTAGAAGTTAGGAAGAAGTTTTTTGCTCAGAGGGTGGTGAGGCCCTGGCACAGGCTGCCCAAAGAGGCTGTAGATGTCCTGTCCCTGCAGGTGCTCAAGACCAAGTTGGATGGGGCCCTGGGCTGCATATTTTAGTGGCTGGCAACTTTGCTCATGGGGGAGGTCGGAACTGGGCGACCTTAAAGGTCCCCTCCAACCCTAGCTGTTCTATGATATTTACTCCTATGTAGCAAAGAGCTTGCAGGTAGTGCCACATACATGCACAAGCTATTGGAAATAATATTCTGCGACTGAATGTCACTATTTTTGCACTGAAAATTAAGTTCCAAGAAATATCAAATGAATTCTAGCCATTTTTCCTTGTGGATAAATGGGAATTGCTCTGTAGCAGGCCATCAGTAGTCATGGATAATGGGACAACGAAGCTGCCTCCTGGACTTTAATTACTAGTGGCAGAACCACATTTCTCTTCGTGTATTTTTTTTAACTGAGCAATAGAGGTAAGTAAAATTGAATAAACTTTAATGCAGGATTGTAGCAAAGACCTGTAGTACTACTGGGATCACTTAAACGCCAATTTGCCTATTTGAAAGCACTCTGATTAGAACTGTAATGGCATGGAATGAGAAAGCTAATGTGGCAATCCATTTTGGCTCTTCCTCTCCCAAGGAAAACAGGCTTCTGGAAGAAGTGAAAGAAGAAAATACCTCAGAGGAGACAAATAAAAGGAGGTAAGATGTGCTTTGTCAAGAAAAAAACACTTTAGAAGGAACTCCAATTATTAATAAGCAATAGGGAAAAGGCAAGAATAGAGCAGGTAATATTCCAGCTCTGAAATACGGGCTGGCTGTGATTTTAAATTTACATCTCAAGTCTCAAAGGGTTCTGCAGTTTCTTTCTGCAGGGGCATTGTTTTGACTCAACACAAAGTCACATTCCTACCCACGTATTTGGGGTAGGAAGAGGTTTCCCAAGTTATGGTACAGATGTTTGCTTATGGTAGCTCAGGACTCCAGCCCCATGGCAGCCAGCTGTTAAAACTCTAAATAGCTCTTTCATAGACACAGACAGACAGGAGTGGTTTTAGATACTGAAGAGCAAGCTTCATGAAAGTAGGAAGTAGTAATTATCTAGTTCTGAGTCTTATTAGTTGGTGACAGAAAAATGAGTGGTTGAACAGCTGTGCAGTGACACTGTGAATGAAGAAATTGACTGAAAGGAATCTGTGCACTCTGTCTACAGACCCTCATGTAATCCCACATGTGAACCAAGAGTAAAAGGAATTACTGGTGTGAGGTTATTTCAGCTGGGGCAGGCTTTGACCTTGCATCATGCACAAGATATTGAGATGTGCTTAAAAGAAATTCACGGGTGATAAATTTGGCACTTCTGTTACACTCGATTATAGAATAAAATCTGGTGGCTGTTTTGGGCAAGTTTACAAAAAGAGAAAACATGCTTCTGAGGGTGAATTGTATTTGGTAGTGGCTGTGCTGGGCTGGGAGTGGTTTCCTTCCGTCTTGCAGCCAATGTCAGAACAGAAGGCTGTGCTGCATGGCACTGTGGGAGTTGTTTTAGGTCACTTATCTCTCATTTTTATTAGCAACCAGGCTAACAAAGTAGTATGCATGTTACATTTGCAGTCAACAGGATGTTGGACAGATGTGAACGATAAGATAGCATTAGAATTTAAAATAGTCTTGGCAACTTGTAGAAATGGTTGCAACAGGGAGGAGTTTGGGGGGGAAGACAAGATCCTTTTCAACAAGGCACTAAATTTAGACAGGTTTAAGCTCGGCGTTGAGCCACGTAGTTAACAGTGCTTCTGATAAGGAAGCTGGGAGTTGGTCCTGTTAGTAGAAGAAAAATGAGCTTCAGGCTAAGGTTCACAAACGACAATTTATTTCATAAGGCTCGCGACCTGCAGGTGCTCCTGGGAAGCACAGGATTAAGTACACAACTTGAGATGCTGCACTGTGCAAAGTCCAGGAGAGAATGGTGTGAGTGATGTATTGAGACATGGGAAAATGCACTTGAGGGAGCACAGAAAGAATGGAGATTGAAATCTTTTGGTAGACTGGGCTTAAGTGGCACCTAGTACAAAAAATGAAGGTAGGGAATTAAGGAGCAGATGTATGGAGAGATGTCTGCTCTTCTACAAATGGAGACCTGTAAAGAGCATCTGTCAGGAGTGATAGCTATGTTTTCCTTGCCTCAAAGTGAGATGATTAAGCTGACTGACTTCCCACAGCTCTTTGCTATCCTTTCTTCTTTTGGAGCTGTACAACTTGTATTTCTAAGCACGGCTAAAAGCTGAAGGTAAATAACTACAGGAGGAAGAGGAGCTGAGAGTAATGTGGTGAGAAAAGTACTCTGGAGTTTCCAGTGCATGGTCAAACTATAATATGAAATCCTATTAGGAGCTGCCCCTTGCCAGAAAATCTACCCCTATCTTGTCAGCTTGGCCTAAATGATCTTTATGAAACCACCGCCTACTTGTACCTGACTGTGTCCAAGTCCACTCTGGCAGAGTGCTGCCACCATCTGCAATAAATCTGAAGATACTGATCAGCTGCTGGTGTAAAGGTAGCCCCAGTAGTACATCTGAAAATGCACAGATTTGACAAGAAGTCCCTGGTGCTAATTGGCAGATCTCCTAACTTTTACTCAGTCTTGATGATCCTTCCAATTCAGGACATTCTATGGTTTTCACTGTGCATTCTGTATATTATAAAACATTACGTGCACCTAAATACAGTTATATCTGCAGCTCAGATTGCCTGGGGCACTTCCTTGAAGGCTTCTGCCTCATCCTTGGATGA